TGCTGCCGTACTGGGAGTGGCTGTTCCGATAGTTTGTGATGTTGTGGTTGATGTGGTCGTTCATGTAATCGTATCGGGGGTCGCTTGGCAGTAAGTGAGGGTGGGGCTGACTTGGGTTGTCTGGGGGATGGAGGTGTGTTTGATCGTTCGAAAGTGGAAGTAGAAGTCGTGTGGGTCTTGTCCAAAGTGGTGGCCAAGCGTAAAACTTGGTGTTGAAGAGTGGTTGGTATGTGTTGTAATCTGAGACATTGGTGGTAAAAAGTCTGTTGATGCTCCACGGTTGCTTTGAGCGAGGGCAACAATGTTTGGAGCTGTTGGATTCTTCCTGGTAGACGTGGATCTGGGGTGCTGGTGTCGGATTCTGCTGAGTGTAGCTGTCGAATAGTGTCATGTAGTCGATTAAGTTGAAGGACCATCAGCCGGTTGATCTGAATGTTTGTATCTCGCAGTTGTGAAATAATTTGGGCATCCAAGGCAACGAGGTCTGTCCCAACAGGATCTGAATCCATCGCGATGTCGTAGTCGAGAGAAAAACTGTACAAGAAAGGAAGGCTGAGCTAAGTTGAACTAGCCGAGCTGCAAGTACATCAAAATGCATCAAGATGGAGACAACATGGAGAGAACAAAACGGTCAAAAACACCCAAAAGAAAAACTCATCCGGTTCAACAAAAGGAAGATCATTCAATAGTGTTTCGCGTGGATGCAGTGAAACGATGAATTCGACGGAATAAACTGGTCTGTACACAATATTGGCGATGCTTCAGTGGTAGAGAGTTTGTCGTGTGTGGCAAATGTTCAAGCAAAGTGTGCACTGCTGGCGACCGATCTTGTTTTTGCTGCGCGTGTGGAAGAAAGCTGTAATGGTGTGTTGTGGGTTGGAGTCTATTGCTCGCAACTGCTAAAACGACAAAAAGCAATAAGCCAATATGTAAATATGTACGAATTGACAATAAAATACAGTACAAAGGCATCAATAGTTCGAGATGTTCTTCAGCACCAAGAAGTTCTTCAGCACCAAGAAGTCGTGGAGAGCACTGTCTGGATGATCATAGACTGCTGTTGTGTATTCTATGTCTCTTTGTCGGTGAGATCCGGAGGTTCTGTAGTCATCGTACTGGCATCTTTTGTGGCTGGAGGAGTTGCCTCTGCTTGTTGAGATGCCTTGTGTGGTGATGATGCTTCTGCTTCTGGACTGTCTGGCTGTTGAGGTGTATAAAGAATTCGCAAGACTTGCCATCGACCTTTGCAGTCAAAAGGTGTTTTGTTGAGTGCTTTTGCTATGTATTTCCAACTGGGGCGAGATCGTTTGTTGAGTTTAAAGGCCGCGAGTTTTTCATCTTCACTGGGTTCCCATCCTCCATTGTCAGGATAGTGTGGTGAATCCGTGAGGAGGTGTGCTGGTTTGGATGGTGGTACTGGTGATGCAGGTGGTAAAGGTGTGGGCAGTGGCGGATTCGGTGGAACTGGTGATGTTTGTGGAGGTGTATTGGGCGAACTGGTGAGAGAAATCGTTGTGATTGGTGGTGTACGCTGTTTCTGGAGGTCTGTATTGTTCTTGTGTTGCTGAGTCGCTTTGGACTTGTGGCGGTGTGGTGAAAACTGATGTGGTGAAGTGGGCGTATGTGAAGGAGAAGGTTCTGGTTTGCACTCCATGAATGGTTTGCCTTTGGCGGGAGGCGGACTGCGGCTGCGTGAGAAAGACGGCTGTGGTTGCAGTGGAGGAGGAGTGTGCCTGGCTGGTCGTGAGGGGGAAGGTGGAGTGGTAGTGAGTGGGTGATGTGTTTGTTGTGGTAGTTGCGGTATAAATGGTGGAAGGTTTTGAAAAGTAGTAGCAATGGAGGTGGCTGCTTGAAGGTGTGCTAAGAGAAGCCGATGGGCAAATGCCGTGTCCAAAGGGGAAGTCATCGTCGTGGTAGTCGTCGAGAGGCAAATATAGCTCGGCGGTCGTCAGGGATCGAGCTCAATATTCAAGATAATACAAAATGGCTGCGGGACAGGTTGCAAATCACAGGAAAAACTTGCGACTCTGTTCGAAATGCTTGTGACTCGCTTCAAAAAGCTTGATACCACCCAGGAGTGTTGACATGCTGCAAGTCTGGAAAATTGGAAAAGTCACTGTAAAAAAGATCATGTTGTCGGCATCAATCTGTACAAGAATGACATGTCGGAAGAAAAGGAAGTTGACAACGATGTGTGCGAAAATCAGAGTCAATGTCAATATCAAGCGGGCTGGCTGAGATTGTTTGAGGCTAGGTCGTCATCCAAGATACGGGGTGAAAAATGAACCTCGTGAGCGGAATAGATTGAATTAAATGAAACTGAGCGGTGGCTTTGCATCGCTTTTCCAAGCTATCCCTTCGATTCTGGAATGTTTGGGATGGGCTACCCAGCATTTTCCTGGGGTGTATTTTACAATCCCTTCTCCTCTGAGCAGCAAGTCATTCGCTGCGGATTCGCCCCCATGAGTGACTTTCTGGCCGTGTCCATAGGCTTTGATCGTCAGAATGAGACCGCTGCGGTTCTTGGCCATGTTGGAAGCATTGAAGAGGACGCGTGCAGCTTCAGCAGCATCATGGGGCTCGTAGTTTGACAATTCGAACGCCTGACAAAAATATCCCACATTGTGAGCATCATGCAGAATGGATCGCACAATTTCTCCTGCTTCAAGTATTGAAATGATGTTGCCCTCCTCGCTCACATGTGCCGCAAAAATGTGTTTGATAGGTGGTATGTTCAGCGCCTCTCTCCGTGTAGGAGGAAGAATCGGGGCGTCGCCCCTGCTCGCTAATGTGGGGATTGTGAGTAGTAGGAAGGAATAATGTTCTTCTTTGTTTGTTTCATCGCACCATTTTTTGTGGGTGAGGAGTTGTATGTCGGTAAAGTGGGTGCTGTTGAGATGAGCTGCACTGAGCACTTTGGCCACGTATGAAAGCATGGGTTCATTTTGACATCAAGTGCTTGTGCGTAGCGGTTGAGCCATTGGAAGACATCCAATTGTGCTGGATCGGTGGGTGGTTGGAATGTTGGAGGAGGTAAGTTGTGAGGTCGACGTTGGACTGGAATTGCAGGTATTGGTGCTGGTGGTGGTGGTGGAGGTGTCTGTTGTGTGGAGTGTTTGGGAGTGAACTGTGGGTTGGGCTTGAGTGTAATGCTGGAAGTACGGCGAGGTGGCTCTGGAGTGTGTTTTGCAGTAACAGCTGTAGTAATGTTTTGGCTGGAAGTGTGAGCTTTGTCTTGGGTGATTGCTGGTGATCGTGATGTTTGTCTGTCTGCAGGTTTGGATTGAGCTTGAGAACTAGCCACGGATTGTGTGGCGGAGCTTCGACGTCTTGGTAGTGGAGAGCGTGTGGTACGCAGTGATCGAGTGCGACTCCTGGATCTGGATGTAGCTTGTGATGGTGCAATGGAAGGTACGGCTGGAAAGGCTGAGTAGCGGTGGTGTTCAGGTGTGCGTGGTGGTGAGCGATCTGGGTCGCGCCAAATGCCTCTTGTAGTGCTGAGTGTGGGTGCAATGGATGGTGTTGGCTTGGTAGTGCGTGGTATGTGGTGTGGCGGCGGAGGCTGTGCGGGTGTGTTGATGGATGCTGAAGCAGGTTGAGTAGTCGCTGGTGAGGTTGTTGAGGTGTAAGGTGGTGGTGGTGGAGTTGATGTGGTCAACTGCTGTGAAGTGATTGTTGTTGGATCAGGTGGTGGTGCTTGTAGTGCATCAGGTGCTTGTAGTGGTGGTGGTTGAAAAGATGCTGTGGCAGGGGTTTGAGTTGTCATGTGTGGTGATGGAGGTAGTTGATGTGGTAGATGTGGTAGATGTGGTTGATGTAGTTGATGAGGTGGCGGTTGAGAGTGAGATTGAGACTGAAGTGGCAATGTAGGATGAGTGTGAGTTTGGGATTGTGGTGATTGAGTGGTGAGATGTGGATGTTGTTGCGCAAGGTGGGTAGTGTCGAAGGGAGCCGTAGGTTGCACTGGAAAATGTGCCTGAAGTTGGTGTGGTTGGATGTATTGAGTGTGAGGTGGAGGTGTAATGGGCAATGGGTAGTGATGTGAGGTTGGGTGTTGCGGTGGAGTGGGTGGCAGTGTTGAAAAAGGTTGTGGTGAAGCCTGTGGTGGAAATTGAATCCAATTAGGTTGTGCAGGTTGTGGTTGTGGATGGATGTGTGGCGGCAAAGAATAGGGCCAGGGATACGTCATGGCTGCTCGGCAGGTCAAAGACAGTGAAAATATGTATGTATGTAAGAAAATAAATACATAAATACCCAAATAAAGGTCCGTGAGGTCGGAGAAATTGTGAAGTGTATTGAATAACCGCAATTAAAATTCTGGAAAATGGAATTAAAACTTGGAATGTTAAAAATATTTGGAAAGGTATGAATGGATTTCCCGGGTGAAACTCTTTCAGTTAACTCTGCAGTGGGATTCAGAGAGGATTTCAGTGAACTCTGCAGTAATCTTCACGTGTGCTGGGTGAGACGATCCAAGCTGATTTCGAGCAGGTCAAATTCAGTCGAAGGGACTTCAGAGAAAATTCAGGAAACTTACTCCCTCGGTGAGGAGTGAACAGGTTCTTGCGGTAACGGCGCCCCGTGGGGATCACACAGCTCACCACAGTGGGAAGAAGCTGCGAAGACACACTTGAGAAGGTTGCTCCGTGGAGCGTGATTTCAGGTAGCTTCGCGGTGTGCATTAGCCCTTTAAGATTACTGCAAGTTAGACCTTGACTAAAGGAAAGTGCAAAGTCCGAGCAACAGTATGGTTGAACAACAATTGGAGAATTTAAAAGTTTGCAGGTACGTCGACAGGACGTCTCCCGTCGATTTCACGAGCAAGAGATAGGTGTCTTCATTGGCACCTGCCCTATCTCTGCTCCAGGTGCCCCCTGCTTCTGTACAGAAAAGCTTGTAGGGTAGATTAGAAAAACTAGGGTAGTGTCCTTGGAAACAGGAGTGGACACACACACACACACAGCAAGAACCCGTCAACGAGTCTGTCATGTCCCAGCGGCCAAGCAGTTGGGACAAAACCTCTTCGACCCACTTCACGTTGACCGCTTCCCTGCGAAGAAGTGACTGATGGGGCCAAGAAGTGACGCGCATGGTTCGGTGGCGCATACATCTGAATCTGGGCAATGATTCGGTTGATTTTTCTACTTTGCCTTTGAATGTATATATATATATATATCTATATATTTGTTGATTTTTACTTTTAATTATAAATTAAAATATTGTTGCATATAGATATACATATATATACATAGTTGTAAAATAGGTCGTATTTAGTAATATGTAAAATTTATACTTATATATTGTTGTTTGTGCCACATGTTTTGTCTCATGGTGGTCATGGACCCAATCTTGGAGCAATCGATGGTGCTGAATTGACATTAATGCATTAATGATGAATATCTACCACACCGTGACACCACCTGAAACCGAATCTCCTTTGCTTCATGTCAACAGCCACCTACCAAAATTATACCCTCTGACATAATCCAACATCATCATCATCATTTTTTGCGTAGGGAAGACCCTGGCGAGCGCGGACACCAGCGGAATAGGTCGGCCCTGTATGCGTCTGGCCCGCCTTTCAGCCACTGCGACGTTGCTGATGACTTCAACAACAATTCCCACCAAGAGGTTCATAAGAGTGATCGCCTCAGTATACCACTTGAGCAGTCACTTGGGCGGTTCGGAAAACCTTGATGAAATCCCATGTCGTATCATTGTGCTTACGCCTGTATCATTGTGCTTACGCCTGTGCTTACGCTGCCTTACGCAACTCACATGTTTATACATGTTTGATCATGTTGCTTACACGGTGCACTTGGAGCAAGAAGGGCTTACGCGGACCTTACGCGGCGCGACACCTGTCGCACCTGTTTTGCACATAATGCAGCTGACACCACAACGCGAGCTTACGCGCTGCATGCTTTGTACAATGGACATCTACTACACCTAATATTCCGATATGGATGCTGAAGAAGCACTTGAGGATGAGGACGAAGAAGAAGACTCAAAGGCAGAAGCAACCGAGCAGCAGCAGCGGGAGGAACAGCAGCGGCAGCAGCAGCAACCCAGCAGCAACCCAACAGCAGACTAGCAGCAGACCTGCAGCAGCAGCAGCAGCAGCAGGAAGTGGAGAAGTGGAAGTGGAAGGGCGGTGCGCGCAAACCACATTGAAGGACTGATGGAAAAGGACACCGGAGCTTACGCGGAGCTGACGCGCGGCTTACCCGCCGGAACTCACAAAAATCACCTGGAGTTTCTCATGTCTGACATGGAGGTTTGACTGTTGAGCTGTGGTGTTTGGACTGCGTGTGTTCAGCAATTCGAGTTTGGATTGTGTATGTGTGTGTGGAGTTGGACTGTTCCTTAATCCTGGCACTTCTGAGAGGGGTGCTCATGTATTTCTCATGTATTTCTTCAGAGCTTACGCATGGCTTACGCAAAAGGTGTCCTTAAAAATAGCTTACGCAACCTTACGCGCGTGCAGGTTTTGCTTGCGCGCAACTTCGATATGACAACCCACTGAGTGAATATGAATCAACGGGAAGGTTTTTCGACTGGCTCACTTGGTGACGTCAATTTAGGCGCTCACTCCAAAAGACCGAACTCGATTTCACTCGCCACATGACACGCACTTTGCCGTTTGCCCTCCAAGTTTTTGCGAGCTTTCTTCTTGTTGCAACACTATCGCCAAACAAGGCCTTTGTTTCTTTGTGTTCCCAGTCGCTGCAGTTCACCTAAAAAATGCCTGCAAAACGTGTTGCCAAGAGGCATTGATGAACATGACGCTGTACATGCCTGAGCGTTTGTTCAAGTGCAGCCCCAAAAGAGCTGGTTGACAATGCGCCTAGTCCTACCACTTCCTTAAGAACAACACCAGATTCATTGTCAACCTGGCCCTTGGGAGACAAATGGGACAAGTGAGCTGAATGACCTGGCAGCTCCTCCCAAAAAGGTGATCTTGATCGTGAACAGTCCATCAGCTTCTACTCCAACTGACTTTTCGTTGTCCATTTTCCTGTGGATTTCACCTGCTCGTCGCCTTGTCTAAGAGAGTGCCCGATTTCTCGGCCTTCATCCAAGAGACACACGAGGTGGACGTAGAGGCCTTCGGCGGTGAACTGGTCCTGAGGACGGTTTCATCTGTCACCGCTCCTCCGATTTTGAAACCTGGTGGTCAAGACGGGAAGATCTGAGCGTGGTGGAACGTGCTTGCGAATCGCTTGAGGCGAAACAGTGGGGGAAAGCAAAGAAGAGCTCATCGGCACCCACAACCAACTGGTGAAACAGCTCCATAGGCTTGATGCATTAAAGAATGGGAAAAGGATGGAAAAGGGAGTTTTCCATGGACGCTCGAAGTGCTTTGTAGTTATACTTATCGTTGAGCCGCTGAGCCATGTCGTTCTTTTCCGCGGGGGCGGGGGGAGTTCTTCAGCCGAGCCTTGCCGCCAAGCGGCCACCAAATTGATGACTTCATCGAGCAAAGTGCAATGGATGAAAATGGTCTGCATGGATGCCTTAGAGTCGCGACTTGGCCACCTTCGGCCCAACTACCTGCAGGTTAGCTTCGCAGTCACGCCTTCTTTGATCTGCCACCACACTCATCTGGACATGCATTTTCTTGGAGTCTCCAAAAGCTTGGCCTCCACAGGTTTGGTTCGTTTTGGGGGGCCCAACTAACTAAAGCTGTTTCATGCTCCGATGCTCAGGGCCCGAGGTCCGTACAGGGGGGCCGTTTCTTGACGCTGCGACCGGTCCGCCGAGCGGCCCCGGACGGAAAACGCGCGCCCCGCCGAGCGGCCAACACCGAGTCGAAGCTTGCAGAGCCGACCGCGGAGCCTTTGAGGGTCACGTGGTAGGCAATGGCCACCATGTAATGCGAGGCCAGTAGCCTCGGGTTTGGACAAAATGTGTCTTCTGTGCTTGGAAGGTGAAGCAGGTTTTCTGCGGTGCTCCTGGGTGAAGACATGGAGTAGTTCAGGCACATGGGGTCCCTGAGATGGCGTCTTTGTCTTTTGAAGACTCTTTCTCCTTTATGGGAAGGTCGTGCTCTTTGTCCCGGCTTGGAACTGGTAGAAGACTTGAATGTCAATATGAGGAGCAACCATTATATATATATATAGAGTGATCTCCAAATAGATAGAAACGGTTTCCAATACAATTTTAATTGCAGTAGTGGGGATCTACTTTTAATTACTTTTCTATCTAATTGATTCTATTTGCGCTTCATCAGGACTTTAGGTGGTCGTCCCTGTCATGATAGCATTGGCCAAAACAAACTTGCCGCCAATGAGCCAACGACTATCAAATTACTTAAAGCTACTTTAGGCATGTCCGCTGCACACTGACATTTGTCTATGAAACATTCAAACCCTCAGTGTTCAGTGTTCATTGAGCCTCTTTTGGAGATCAGTCAATGTCACTGGATGAAGCGGCTCAAGACTCCCTAAGGAACATCGAAGCATAGTACACCCTCCTATGAAGCAGCTTGAAGCTCCCCAGTATTCTAAAGTTCCCCATGTACCAAAGAAAAAGTGGAACGCGACGAGGATTTGCCCTCCTCACATTCGGGCACTCGATGGCACGCGTCGATTGACACCACCTCTGAGCATGTTGTTTCACTTTAGAACAGCATCCAGTAAGCATCTCAGGCGATCTGGTGATGAATGGTGAGTCTTGGCCCAGCTTCCAAAGTGTGAGAGCCAATTGCCCGTCCCCCACACTGGTGAAGCCTAGATGCAAGACCAGTGCAAAGAAGACCTAGGTGGGTTGCGCAGGCACAACGGCCACTGTCTATACAACGTCTTCTGGGTGATGACCTCGTGAACTGCACTCCTACACTGCCCAGGAAGCTTTGCAACAAGCCTCTGGAATAGGCTCTTGGTATAGTGGTCGGGGTGCCATGAGATGGTTTGACCATAATTTGAATGGCAATTGCTCGGCCATATCATCCAATGCAACATCTTATGCTAGGGACTCAAAAGCGAAACATCTGCCTAGGTGTGAAGCCTTCTGCCTGCGTGAAAACATGCACAGCTGCCCCGGCACATGCCAAAGCAAAGGGACAGTCACTACTAATACACAAGATATGTTATGAGCAATTAAGTAAATACGTAATACATACATACATATATATATATATATATGTATATTGTGATGCTTGAAGTGGAACGAGTTCACCCCATAGCAACACTTGGTCAGCCTTTCAAGAACACATGTTTGCCGATCCAGGTTTTCCAACCAGGTCAAAAGCCTGCGGATGCCCCCTGTCGGTATCATGCATGTCTGTTCATGATTGCTGGTGTTGACAGGTGCAGCATGTGGAAGGTTGGTCGAAATCGAAATGGCACCCATTTTGCCTTTTAACCAGTCCTTGCCCTTTCACAAGCTGAATTCAACATCAAACGCCTTCCCGACATCTTGCACATTCATCATGGGTCTTCTTTAAATCAAGCACGAACCATCGACGACATCATTTCGAGTGGCAGAGCGGAACGCCGTGAGCATGGCCTTGATAAGGATTTGCAACTCTGGGAAGAACCTGCATGGTGCACCGTCCGCCCTCGAAACTAACAGAATATGTGGAAATATGATGACACATTATAATGAAATATGCGGAGCTACGGGGAATGGGGGTAGAATGGCCAATAACACCAAGCATCAGCAAACATCTGCATCAAAACTTGCAAGGAGCACCCCACATCTCCAGACCTAGGGCCTATGGCATGGCAGGCTAGCTACGGAAAACAACTGGCCTGCTGAAAATCAGCTGGCACAAAAGTGTGCATGCAAACACGCACTCTCGCTCTCCAACCCCCCTCTTTCCATCTCTGTAATGTCACAGAGTCAAAAGTCAACCATCCCGAGACTGCACCTGCCCCATCCTGCCCCATCCATGCTGGGGGAGCACCATCTGATCTGCTCCCGACTGCTCCCCCACAGGCGGTGAACCCGTGAGCCGGTGCTGTCTGCCAAAGGCGGCCTCACCAGCTTGGCCATGCGGCAGATCCGCGTCAAGCGGAGGATCCTGAGACCGAGACCGAGGCCGCAAGGCAGCTGACTCAGCTGGGTCGCTTAGGTTGGGAGAGGGGGTTCGTGACTTCGGCTGGATTAATTACATTTCCAAGGAGTTGCTTTCCAAGGTTTGTGGAATTTACAGTGCATTCAGAAAATTATAGAAGAATACAGAAAATGTGTGGATGATTTGATGACTTCTCCTATATTTCTCCCACCCATGATGCGTCACCCCCCTCGGCCCCTGCGGCTGCCTGAAGGACCGTAGGATCTCACTATTCCCTCGGTGGCCGCTTCGCTGCACCGATTCAGGGTCGATGGGTTGGGTCCTTGCATTCATCCGTTCGATCGATTCAGGCCACCGGGAGGGGAAAAAGGATGAAAAAGGTCCATCTAATCCAACTCAAACACGCCTCTTCAGCCACTGAGGAATGTTGAGGAGCTGGAAGCGAGTTGGAAAGTGAGCAAGAATGATGCCTCCTTCCCTTGTCAACTTCAGCCTGCCCAAACCATCCCAAATAATAAGTTTATTAACACATGTGCACACTCGAAATTCCCAGCGTCTTCCACTTGGAAAGGTTGCACGCAACTGTCCACTCAACATACAACCTAATTGTAGGGTTGAAAAGCTTACAATAAAGAAAAGGGCTTGCCAAAACTTTTGATCAACTTTCAATCTGCACCGGTTCGTTCCACCATTGATCCTGAGCGAATCCCTTCGAACATGTTCTTCGAAACTCTTCAAAACGCTTGGCACTCCACTTCTCTTGGCACTCCAAGAGGGGACCCCTTGCTGTCTGGAGCTGTGTTGAGCCACTGAGCCCCGCGGCGGATGAAGGTCGCTTCTGCTTGATCCACCGGTGTGGCCAGTGCGAGGGCCGTCATGACCTGTCCCGGTGGAGACGTGCGTGCCATACGTGCCTACCGTGATGGTAGGCTCAATGAACCAGCATGCACAGAGCGGTTGCCGAACGTTGAACGAATAGTTGAACGTATGACACGTTCGTTTGGTCTTGAACGGTCATCATGCCCTTCGCCTCCACCAGCTTTGAAAGGGATACACATGGTATCACATGGTTGTGTCTTCGGCTTTGGGTATGTTCCTAAAGGCAAAATGGTGAGATGTTTGGCACCACCTGCAGCAAGAAGTCTTGGATAGTTTTGGGAGGGTGTGGGTGCAGGATGGAGGTCGAAGGCTGGAACCAGAACCAAGAACCAACGTTCAAATTGTGAGAAGCGATTGGGTCACCGGTCAAACAAAGCTCAACCTTTTGCTTAGTCCTTTTTGCCTTTCGGTGGCCTCTACAAGAGCACCTTGGAACTCCTGTTTGTTTGGGGTTCCTTTTGGCTTCTGGCTCCCTGGCAGAACGTCCAGCGGCCGATTTGACTTCTTCCTGCTGTACAGCTGACTTTGACCTCCAACAAAGCTCTGATGGCTAATGAAATGAACAGTTCCAAGTTCTGGACCCTTATTTCAACAAACCATCCTTACACACTTCACCAGTGCATGTCCAATGTTGAGGTTCTCGTGGCTGGACAGGGCTACTTGATGTCGTTCTTGGACCTAGCTTCCCTCCAGCTGCTGCTCAGGCGGCCCAGGTATCCACGATGGTGAGTGGTACCAGGATAGCGTCAAAAACGAACCTCATCGTCGCTTGAGCTCAGTGATGCCAGGGGTCTTTACGCCGCTCAGGGGTATTGGCTCTGCTCAAGTGGGTCGGCAGTAGCCCCATCTAGCCTCCATCATTCACTAATGCACCTTCTCAGAGGAAGCATCTGTATTTCGCTTTGACTTGTGATCAAACTGAGTCGAAATCTCCAAGTCAGCATGCAAGGGTCCAGGTAGAGATACACTGAAATGTCTGAACATGTCCCCTTTGTGATCCTGCACAAAATCCAACCTCTTGCTCTCTTGGATCCATTTGCATGTCCGACCTGCCAACGCTCGTCTGTACCATCGCGCAACAGCGTCATGCGGCCAAGCGGCCAGCCGTCGCGCACGCGGTCGCAGCAGCCCTGAAAAGCGAAGAAGCGGACGCCCAGCTCGAGGACGAAAAAGAGGCCTCGGCCAAGGAAACGTGGTTTTGCGAGCAATAAAAGCAGTCCATTGGGAGGTGTTCGAAACCCCGAGGGGTGGGGGTGGAAAGAAGAAGAGTGAAATAATCACATTGCATGAGAATGGCATGAGTCATACTGAGTCATGCATGAGATGTCGGCTTTGAGATAATGAAAAAGGTCTTGAGTCCACTGAGTGGGTCTCAAGGCCCGTCATGGCCCGTCACTACTTCCATTGCCTGGTTCTACTATCAGTGGTGCCTGGGGCGTTCTAGCCAATCAAGGACTGGCGTGTGTGCCCCGTGTGGAAAAATTTGGTTTCAGTATGGCTGCACATCCGAGGTGTGATTTGGGAACCGTGCTCGACCCTGGTAGTGGCTTCGAAGACCGCTGGAGAGGTGACTTCCAAAAGGGAAGGAGCGCTCAGAGCAGGATCCATATCAACTCAACTGCCTTTGGCCAAAGGGTTGGAGAAATCATGCACCACGACATCCGAAATACAAGCGTCGAGCTACACCCGATCATCCATGGGGGTTATCTATACAGACAGGACTTGGCTGCCAGGTGTCTACAGAAATTGAATCAGGCCGGTTTCTGGGGACATCTAGGTTCTAATTAATAATCTAATAACTTAACTAATACCCCTCACATCCCCTCAATCCACTCACACACACACGAAGATACTCCAGATACACTTGTGGTGAGCTTCCGTTTGGCACTATATAATTACTGGGGTCATGTCTGTCTTGTTTGGCGTCATCAACAACAAATTCGGTGGTTGCACGGCTTTGCCTCAGACAAGGACGTTAATTACAGCAAACATGAGCGACCCCAGAAAGACTAAAATCGAAATCCAAGCACCGATTCCAGGAGATTTCGACACGCGCGCCAGTCAAGCTGACAAGCATCAACAGAGGGCAGCACGAACACAGAAACCCAATCAACCAATCCGAAAAGGAAAGAAACAAATTTGGTCGGTGGTTGGGGGTTGACCTGAAAGCCGAAAGCCCCCAAAAGCAAAAAAAAACAAACGAATCCAATTCCGGGGGAAGCCAGGGCCGAATCCCCCAAAACCGAATCCCAGAGAGAGGGACCATGAGGGACCGAATGCGAATTGGATTCACAAAGGCCGCCCCAAAGCCCAAACCGAATCCCGAGCCCAGTTCTATAGGAGGGAAATCTGTGGAATCGCTGCTCCTGCTTTGTCCCTACTCCTACAAGCTGAGGAGTTCTTTGCAACTGATGAGTTCGGCATCTTTGCTGTGATTGCCGATTGTTTGGTTCTGCAGACTCACCTTCGTGCGAGATTGGCAGATGAGACATGGGAACCCGCCTTGGCTGTCTTGTTCTAGCAGGCTAGGTCACGTTACAGCTTCAATTGCATCAAGGGCTAGAACGGCTAGAAACGCTTGCTTTCTTTACGCAACACATCGTGGCCACTTCTGGTTCATCAATCAAATACCTCCGACTACCTGCCAAAAGTGTTTTTTGGCCAGCATTTTGCTTCAGAAATGCTGACTGGCTGGAGAATAATTTTAGACAATTTTGGCCTATTCACTCTCCAACAAGTGGAAGTGGATCACAAAAGGGCATAACCCGCGGGAATGCAACTTATATAACACCACACGGGTGGCGGGATGTGCCACTTGCATGTAGCTTGGCCGCACATTCAATAAACAAAATCAGGCCATCGCATTCGGGTAAACCTGCGAACAAGATTGAACAGACTTGCTCTCTTGAGACTTTCGTGACGAGGCACAAAAGAAATGATCAGCCGCTTGGAAGATGAAGCCGGACTCGGTGATCAGCAGGGCATCGTTCCAGTCGGCGTCGATGCCCATCCAAATGGCATAGACGAGGATCATCGATAAGTCAAGTGTCTGAACATACCTGCCACAAGGGTGGGGATGTCTTGGGATCGCGTTTCTTCAAGCAGCCTTGGCCTTGCCTTGGCGGCTGATCTGATGGCCAAACTTGCACGACCAGGATTAGAAAAAAAAACAACGAGAACCTGCGATCGACAAGTACAGGCTGCGCAAAGCCCCAGTGAGTCCACCAGTTGTACCTTGACGATCCTTGAAGTGACACACCCAAAGCTGAGCCAACTCAATATGTGAAATCGACGAGGGCCACTCCAACACATATCCAATCACCCTTGCCCAAACTGACAAGGAATGATCAACACACTTATCAGCTGTTGCATCATGTCAATATTAAGTCGTTTCCTCCTGCTCATGCAGTCTTGAACCTCTTGCACAAAGCACGAACATGAGGGGCTGGACTCATTGAAGTGCGGCTTTCAGCTTGAACAGGGGGCGTGAGTTTGTCCAACTGACCCACGGCCAAAGGTGCGGATGCAAAGCGATCTCAGCACATGTCCCAGGTTTGTAGTGGTGTTCTTCTTCTCCTAGGCATGTGCAGAGTTGAAAAACATCTGGGCAACTGTGCGCAACACCGTCAAAACAAAAGGAACAATAGAAAATGGTAACTATAGGAATTAAGTTAGGAAGACGTTTATCCTCCACACACTGGGAGTTTTTGGTGTAGATGTGCGCAAAAACGGGTTTCCACTCTTGATATTAATCTTAAATCCGTACGCCTTGACCGCGAAGGAAACACTGGGGGCCAACCCATTGTGAATGCCAGGTTTGCAGGCAGCGCCCATGGGTTCCTACATAGGGCATATGTAGGGTAGGCAGCGCTTGGCTTATTAACATTACCATTAAGAGATTGAACATGTACAACCACTCACCTGAAGAAGTGCAGTGGAGGCACCACGGGCAAGAATAACTTGGGCAACTAGGCCGAGAACCTGCCCAGAACTCAAGGCCTGTGGTCATTTACCTCAAGAACCCTCAAGTTACTAAGCAATCACGAATGGCAGCCGGTTGCGGCCTTTGATGATATCAACATAATTACATAAACCACCACCACCACCCAACGAAAACGCAAGTGACCTGCCTAATTATATAACCATTCCCACATGGTTGTGGGTCAAAACTGTGCGACCTTGTTTGATCAAGGAAAATGAACGGAAATAGACTACCAGAAGAAGGTCTAGGGCTCCAGGTTTTGAGACACTGCCACATCGGGATCAAACTATATTTGCCGCGGTTTCGACTCCACCAAAGTTGGGATTCTGACATTTGCGTTCCAAAGCGCCAGCGACAATGGGCTTCAGGCTGGCCCGCACCTTGGCAGTAAAATTTGGCAGGCAAACATTCAACAGTGGGAAAATGGCACATAAATTCCCATCGTGATAGGATGCAACATGCGGGTCCGCATTTTTTAAACTTTGTAGTACAGGACTTCATTCAATGGAATTCGTGCAATCCAACTGTGGGATGCAAGTGACACAATTCGCCACACTATGCCACATTTAAAAAAAACATCCAGGCCCATATCAGGGACTGGCAAGAGATCTGCCCAACAAATTGCTGAAATGCACTAAATCGTAGGCAGGCCTTCGAGCAACTGTCCTTCCCGCCAGCAACTGTCCTTCCCGCCAGGCTAAGTTTTGGGCATCATCCGCACTGCGGAAGACCGAACGCCGCATGCGAGGAGCTTCAATCCTGAAGGGTCTTTTGGCCGACCGGAAAAAAGGGACCCGACGCATAAAGAAGACTACGGCCTTGCTAGGAACCCTGTTCTAGCACCTCGGTGATCCTCGGTGTCTTCAACATTGATAGCTTAGCTCTCAAAATGAATAGCGTGAAATGTATCCCTCAACTGGTGCTTCCTTTTTGTCGTCACAATGCGTGAGATACAGAAGTTTCAACGGGCCCTATATTCGGTCCGCTCATGTCCGCTCGATTGTACTGACCCTTGTTGAATATCATTCACTAAACGAAATGAACATAAAGTTCATGAAACGACGTCGAACATGAAGATCATTAAACGAAGATGGAGTTGATGATCCGACCGAAACATCATTACCCCCCCGCACCGGCTTTGAACTTCATGCCTGAACATTGAAAAAAGTAAAAATCCCTTCAAGACCCGGGGGTTCCAGGTGCCTAATGCCGCCGTGAACGTCTTGGAACTGTTGCTGCATGAAAAAGGCTGCCCGACCGCCCCACACCTGTTTCAATGCCCTCCATGCAATTTGCTGTGCATCTATCAAATTTTTTGGGGCAAAGGTTTGGACTTCACTTTTCACAACCAACCAGAAGGACCAGCTGTATTTTCAAGATGACACACACACACACATATATATATATGCATTACATAATCTTACACCACATTGTACAGGTGGATTTGTGTCCATTGGATTCTTCTATCGTAGTATATCGTAGCTCTGCGCAGGAATTTTTCGAGCTGTGCCCACTATGTTGGACGAGGCACGTTTCGCGACTTTCTTTCAACCTCGGCGTCACTCCGTTTGCCATCACTAAGCACACTCAGCAACAAAAAACAGGTGGAACCAATCGGAACCGGCCACGCCGAACACATCCAAAAAACATACAATATATAGGGCGCATTGCGAACAAACTGCAGCCGGGCCACGAGCGTTTTCTCAGCACATTGTCATGGGGCACCACGTCAACATGGTCCGCAACGTCTGCTTGAGCTACCTGCACCTTCACAAAAACAGCTGCATACAATGGCACGTTGCATGACTTCCAATGGCGGTGAAAATGCTCAGACTCAGGGGCGGAACATGCTACCACATCGTCTTGCCTCCTGGAACTCGACTCTTTTGGTTCCCTTGGTGGCTGCCACATCCTGGCATAATCTGTATGCCAGCTTTGTCATGGTGATATTTTTGATACGCGACTGGACTATACTGGACTTGGCATTCGGAATGTAATTGAAGCAGGTCCTTGTCTATTCCGCCATTTGTGGGAACGTCCTCCAGGCCGTGCACGTGCTTGCTTGCCACCGGCCTTAGGAAATTGAACGTTTCTCTGTGTCCAAATGCAACTGCATTTTCAATCGACAACTGGTTGAAATGATCTGGCCCACCGTCTCCAATCACGGTGTTGGTCCATGAAACAACGCTTCAGTTTCCGCATCCTTGCGCTTTCTGGCGCTTGAGGAAGCATGTAGTTAACATTAGTAAACAAAAAAATGTCATTGTCTATCGTTGCCAACAACTGTTGGACTCGCAAATGTTTTGGCACAACTGGCGCGGGGAGCGCGAAACCAAGTTCAATCCCAGCTGGCCGTCCTGCGCCTAATTACCGCCGCCGCCAGGGCTGTGTGGTCCACAAATGATTCCTTCAAAAAAGGGTGGGGGGGCCAAGACCCGCCTCCGACATTAGTGAGTGTAAGTCTGACCCTCACATTTCGTGACAAGGGTTTCCAACCAAATAGGGCCAAGGCAGCTCTGATGATCTAAGTTTGTGCATGTTAGCATATCACCAGCCCGTGTTATCCCGTGTTTCACTGTGACGTTCGTTTCTCCACGGGCATTGCGTCTCTACACCCGAGGTTCCTGAAAGGTTTCCGGAATGATCCGGCAGAACGGAACCCCAAAAACAACAAACTTGCTGTGTCTGGGGTCCCAGCATGTTCGGCTGCAAGGCCATGTTCTCTGCCAGCACACGTTCGTACTCAGCACGGATAGCCCCAAGCGCTTCCACAAATGCTGCTTCATGGCGACCTGGCGGCTTCATTCAGACGGCAGGGCAATGCAAAAATGAATAGGATGTGATTTTGGTGTATGAATCACTAAGGTCAAACTGACCACCATTGCAGGTGGAGGCGCACGTTAGGTTTTTGGCACAACAAAATCAATCATTCTTGCGCGGTCATGTAGAGGACCGAAAACATTACCACGCAGAACAAACACCGCGCAAAACAGTCATTGAGCCCCTGCAACCCCACAGTGTCAGGACCTGACAAGGAGGTGGCGGAGAAACAATGGCAGGAACACGTTGGACTTTGGTGCTGTGAGGCCATTGTCCATAAAACAGGGCAACCACGTTTCTGCATGTTTCTTCAACAGCCTCTGTCACTGGGACAACAACAGGGCCAAAAACAGGACAAACAACTACTTAGGCCCGAAGGCGGCTTGGCAGCCATGGGATCGCTACCTGGGCCAAGTGCAATACGACAACGGATGCACCCACAATATCTCAACGCTTTGGCCAAAATGGTGCTCACTCTGCGTTTTTGAGTGAGCGCCATCCTGCTCCGAATGCTTTTTCCCGACAACGAATGCCCACACTGCAACGTGGACAAGGGCGATAGTCAAAGTGTGGCCCGTGGCCCGTGGTGGGCGGTGGCCGTGGTGGCCGTGTCCGGTGGCCTGGCCAGTGGCGGGCGGTTCCTGGGCCTGAACGCCTGTGCCGGTGGCGAGAATAACGGCACTTGTTCGCGAGTCAAGATCGGCATGCACACGGGGTCAACCAATTTGTCTTGCATGCATCAGGCGCGGGGATGAAAAATGAACGTGTTAAACAAACCATGTTTGCATGCACGAGACTATGGATTTATAATCTCGCAGGATGGTTCTGGAAGGAGTCATGTAGGGGCGGTCAATGAAGAATCAACGTCCTGCATGAAAATCACCCAACATGTACACATCCACACACAAATACATCAGACATACACACATCCACAAATATACACATCCACACCTACCTGCCTACCTACCTACCTACCTCCCTACCTTCCTTCCTACCTTCCTTCCTGCATACATACATACATATGTTACATACATACATACATATACTCGACATACCGCCATACCCCTAAACGGCAGGGAGGGCGTGGCTGCAAGGCAAGCCTGCGGCCCTATGTGAGTTGGGAGTTCTCATCGGTCTTCACCAAGCCGGGGGCATTGACAAAAATCTTGAGAGGCGCCAAAGGGAATGAAGGTTTGAGAGGCGCCAAAGTGCGCTAGCACTGTGAAAGCCAGGAAGGCGTAGCCACCAAAGCTCTCTTCAGTCTTACCTACCGCCTGTGCCACGGAGGAGGATCGCATGATGATCATCATGGCAAGTCCCGGACGGGCTGCGCCAACTGGAGGGCGAATCCGGCCAGTCGCGTCTTCGAGGCATTTCTTTTCACACCCCTGCAGCAGTGCAGTCCGCGTCCGGCCGCTCAAAAAATGGGCGGGGCACTCAGCGTCAGCGGCCGCGGCCGCAGGCGGTGGCTGAAAACGGCTGCGGGTGTGCAAGCTGGTCGCCCTCGCACGCGCGGCTCGCACGCGCTCGCGCGTCCGGTCCCCCGATGGTCGCGCCATCGGTCAGTCACCAGCTCATGACACATCACATCAGCTTGGATGAAGATGAGTTGGCGCTGAACCTTTTTGATCCTTTTTGAACTGCGATGTTTTTGCAGTAAGGGCACTCCACATCTTCTGTTGTTTTGCCGAGTGTTTTCCCACAGCCACGTTGACGTAGGAGGGGCACCATGAAATATTTTCGGGATTTTTTCGGGGATGACCCAAGGTGCGCTGGGGTCTGTAGGCCAATCTTGTTGCCTCGGAACTGTGTGTTTGTGCAAGTTTATGCCGCACACCTGAAAGTTGTCGTTCGTCGCCAATACCACCACCATCACCACCAGCGATGATTTCGTTTTTTTCCTCACTTCTTTTGGCTGCAGCGCGTCTCTCGCAAGGTGTAGGGCTCGTCCACCGGCAGCGACAACAGCAAATCCACAGCGCAAGTCCCGAAGGATGTCCAAGGTTTGTTCTTCGAGGCCTTCTGGTTGGATGAGAGCATGAGCAATGTGCTGAGCCATCTTGATGGGATAGTCTTCCTCAGTTTTGTGACATCGATTGTCACCTTCTAGGACATGATGCTGCTGGTCACCACTGCGACGCTTGGACATGTGGCGAACCATGGCCAATTTGGTGGTGTGCAGTGAGGGTGACTTCTTGATGCGCAAATCTTCTTTGTTTTCACTTCCAGGCGGTGGCACCATACTCGCACTGCACTGGTCAAAAACAATCTTGTAGCCAGGAAGGTTGGCAAAAGGCTGATGTCTTCCAGGACAGGGCACGTGCAGGATGCTCAGGACGTGAGAAAAAAGGCAAGTCGAACACAAAAGCACCACAAGGAAAATACGCCATCGTTGCGGCAAGCCTAGACTCTGCTTCCCAGTGCGGGGCATCAAGTTCGAGTACAACTCCAACCTCGAGCAAGAAGAAAACTCTGTACAAGTCCGATCCGCTTGTCACTGGCATGTGACCAGGCCCAGGACATGACGTCTGAGAATGTCAAAGGGCATGCTTCCTGAAAATGCAACTGTCCCAGTCGAGCTCTTTGACTGGGACGTGTGACTGGGACGTGTTTTTTGGATGTATATATACCCACATGAACGGCGAGGTCATCGCGTTTTGTTTTGGCAATTCAGGATCTAGGATTACGGATCAAGCAGCTCCTGATCGGCACGGAGTACATCTTGCACTACTTGGCATGGTTGCAGTTCCTTGGTTTTGACCTCAACAAGCTAAGAGTTCAAGAAGTGCAGCGTCGGCGTGGGCAGCCTGTCAGGGAAAGGCTTCAAGCAGTTGTTGACCTCTGGGCCTACAAGATGAAAGTGATAGGAGGAAACGGATTCCCATTGAGAAAGGTCGACCAAAAACACGACGCTCATGAGACTTGCCACTGTTGGTCACGACGGGCAGCTGATTCTGGCGACCTACCATGGCAACCACAAGGTAATCTTCTGGAGCGCTTAAGGTCAAGCACTCTCTTTTTGGCGTCAGTGTATGCCGCCATTGCCACGTCATACTCCTCACTGTTGCGACGGTGGCCTCATCTTCATAGTCCGGGTCGTCATCGGGTCTCCAACCGTCCTGTTCCCAAGGCTCATCATCAGTCATGTGGATGAATTGGCGGGGTTTCCATCGTCCAGATAGCCTTGTCGCTGAGCTCTTCCGAGGGCGGGTTGATGGACATGTTTGTGGTCCTGACCAAGGATCATGTACATGGACTTCTCGGTGTTGCTGAGGAACACGTCGGAGCCAGCCTGGGCGGGTATAGATCATCTGCTGTTGACCGTTGCTGAGACCAGACTTCCTCAGCAACAGCAGCAGCAGCAGCAGCAAGCCAGCGACTTGGTCAGGTACTTCTTGAATTCCCTAGGGGATTGTTGGTGCGCGGTGCAAAACTCTAAAAAAGATTGGCCAGTCTTTCGCTGGGTCTTGTAAAAGCACCGCGCGAAGGCATCAGGCATCTCGACATGACCGTCGTACTGCCATTGGGCCAGGGGGCGTCCAAGCAAGAGAGGATGCTCTTCAGGACATCTTCTTTCTCTAAGGCATCGAGATCGAGATCTTCGCATTGGCGCCAGCTTGCGCCCTCAAGCACTGAAAGAGCAGCTAGGCCGGTCTCATTGGCCTTCCCTTGGATCGCTTGGCGGCGTGCAAGCAGTACGATCTGCTTGCGCCATTCTCGATACCCCGTCATGGTGTTGTGTCGCAGCGGGGTATGTAGCTTCGCTCGTCTTTGGATGACAAGCCTTTGTCACCCGCACCAGCTGCTGCCGATCTGCCTTTGGGAGATTGGCTCATTACGTCAAGACGGACCGGAGCTGCTCCATTGGCAGCTCCGCTACCAATGTGAAAACGTGGAGAACACAAAGCCAAGAAGGGTGAATTTCAAATCGATGTGGAACGCTCTAAGTTTCCGACTGCAAAAATAAAAGGACCGGATAACCCCACATGATAAGTTTTACAAATTTCAATTGTATATGAACATCACATGGGAGACGGAGTAGTGAGATGAAAAGTCAAGAACGAAGTGTGAGGAGAGAAGGTATATGAGGCGGTTGTGCTAAGACGTGTAGTATAAGTGATGATGTGATGGACGAGTGATGTGATGAACAAGGATGAGAGGGACGAGAGAGAGAGAGAGAGAAGGAGGCGGAGAGAGAAGTTTGGAGGCTCTG